AATAAGAAAATTGAGAGCACAGGTATGCTTATTTGGTTTTCAGCTGTAAAAGGTTGATTATGTTGGTCTTATGGCATTAGTTTTAACAATTCTGGCATTTCTTATGAAAGCTAGGTAAGAGAGCTTGAAGAAGAGAAGAAAGGATTGCTTACTAAATTAGAGGTAATTTGCTTCTTATTATTAAGGTGTTTCAATCAACAACAGTTTTTTTTTCCTTGGGGTGAGGGGTGGTGGGTGGCGGTTGCCATAACCTTTTTTTTTTTCAATTTTTATATCTGAGCCGTCGAAGGTTGTTGAGAAACTTGGAAATTGGAAAACTGGGGCTGATATTGGTTATATTTCCTTTTCAGGTTACGTGTTTGCAAGAGTAATTGTAGCATGCATCATCATTGTTGATATGTTAGTGGGTGTCATTGTAGGTTGTAGCTTTATGTTTCATTTATTTCTCTCTTAAATTTGATGTGGCGCCTTATTGATTTACCTAGCAATGGGATGTTGATTATTCTTCCAGGGAAGCAGTAGTTTGATGCGCACAAGTCTCTGCTTGTTCACTTGTTTATTGCTAATCTGGCGCTTCTGTAATATGACTGCTTGTGTTGTGATACCTTATTTTGAGCTTCATAGTTGTTAATCAATTGAGCCTCCTGCAGGTTGAAGAGAACAAAGTAGAGAGCATAAAGAAGGATAAGGCCGCAACCGAGAAACTACTCCAGGAAACTATAGAAAAACATCAAGCAGAGCTTGCTACCCAAAAAGAATTCTACACGAATGCTCTGGTTGCTGCAAAAGAAGCTGAGGCATTAGCAGAAGCACGGGCTAACAATGAAGCCAGAACTGAACTGGAAAGCCGTTTAAGGGAAGCTGAGGAGCGTGAAGCTATGCTAGTTCAAACAATTGAAGAATTAAGACAAACTCTGAGCAGAAAAGAGCAGCAAGTATTTTTCCTAGTGTTCATGTTTTTAATCATCTTTCCAGAATCCCTGGAATGCTAAGACGCTGGGCTCCATTGAATGAATTACTGAATTGTGTTTTAGGCAGTTTTTAGAGAAGACATGCTGCAGAGAGACATTGAGGATCTTCAAAAGCGATATCAAGTTAGATATTTAATCTCTCTCTCTCTCTCTTTTTCTCTGTCTGCCCCTCTCTTGTCTGTGTATATGGTATGTGTGCGTGTTTTTGTGGGTTCACGCATGCGTGGAGTTCTGTATTTCAGACATAGACAAGCTTTTTCTTGCCTGAGCAATAGGTTTCCTACTGACTCGATGATGCTATTGTGTCTAGGCTAGTGAGCGTCGCTGTGAGGAGCTAATTTCTCAAGTACCTGAATCTACCAGGCCTCTTCTGAGGCAGATTGAAGCTATACAGGTTTTACATCTGAAACCATAAGGATTTTGGAAATTTTGGGATATGTACATCTAATTGTTTGGATGCTTTCATGGCTTGACTTCTTCCTGCAATAATTGCAGGAAACTACTGCCAGAAAGGCTGAAGCTTGGGCTGCAGTTGAGAGGTCCTTGAATTCGCGACTTCAGGTCTTCAGAATGGTCTATGTTCTGCACTTTTTGGCATTTGATGTGAAAGACTACTAAATAAATTCCGGCATTCAATGTAGGAAGCAGAGGCCAAAGCTGCTGCTGCAGATGAAAGGGAGCGATCAATTAATGAACGCTTATCTCAAACTTTATCTCGAATAAACGTTCTTGAAGCTCAGGTTATCTTATTTCTCACTTACAGTTATTAATACACGTGTATTGTGTATAGTACTTGAGAGTAGGAGTGGCTTGCAGATATCATGTCTCAGAGCCGAACAGACACAACTGTCAAGGTCCCTTGAAAAGGAAAGACAGAGGGCAGCAGAAAATAGGCAAGAGTATCTTGCTTTAAAGGAGGAAGCTGATACAAATGAAGGTCGTGTGAACCAGCTTGAAGAAGAAATTAGAGAGCTTAGGAGGAAACACAAGCAGGAGATACAAGACGCAATGACAAAACAGGAACTTCTTCAGCAGGTACCACACTGGGTTTTGCTTTTTGTCTATGACTTCTGCAGGTTTAGTTGCATTAAAGTAGGTCTTCATACATGTGTCATTGGGAATATAGGAATGTGGAATGGCATGTACATGAACTGCTACAGTGTGAGAGGTAGCTCTATGTTTTATAGATCTTGTTTAGTCTACAATGCTGGACTTGGGAGAGGAAAGGCAGTCCTAATGGGGAGAGTGTATTTGCTTTTAATTGTCAGAGCAATCATTGTCCTTGCTAGTTATCATACTACTAGTCATGGTACAATAGTATAAATGCCACTAGTCAGCTTTAATACGGACTTTTTTTCTGTTTTGATTTTTATTGCCATTGTAAAAATTGTTAGTGCTTTTGCAGAAATTTGCTGCTGCAGGAGGAACATATAAAGAAGAAATAAACTCGTTACCTGCATGGTCAATATATGCATTTCTACCATGTTCTGCATAGTGCTAGCAAGCTTGTCAACCTGAGAGTTCTCTATTTGTGATTTCATGTTTGACAATTACAAAAAATTAGAACTGTGTGCTGCAAAAGATCTTTTTCTGATATTCATAAAATTTCTGTATCCTTGGTACACTTCCAGATAAATTTGTAGCGGGATGAAATATAGGTTTTTAATTTGTATTGCCTGAAAGTTTCCTCCCATGAGCTAGTTTCATGATTAGGTTGATTGACAGGAGCTGCAGAAAGAGAAAGCAGCACGATTGGATCAAGAAAGGGCAGCTCGGCTTCAATCTTCTGTTCTATCAGATCAAAGCCCTAAAACAAAGCAAATGCCTCCTATAGAAAATGGTATTTATATTCCTAGTAAAGTATACAGCATTTGTGAATGAGCCCCTAATCAATTTTTAAGCAAATACTGATCATATTTTTCAGGAAATTTGATTCGCAAGCTTTCAAGTGCTAGCAGCTTGAGCAGCATGGAGGAAAGCTACATCCTACAAGCATCTTTAGACTCATCTGAAAATTTGTCCGAACGCAGAAATCAGGGTGAGGGATCCTTGAGTCCATATTACATAAAGAGCATGACACCTGGAGCTTTTGAGTCTGCATTGCGACAAAAGGAAGGCGAGCTTGCCTCATACATGTCTCGATTGGTATGTGGAACATTTCCCCAATTAATTTTTGGAAGGTTTATGGCCATAAAAACCATTCTTGTTGAACCTGGTCTTCACTTTTATTGTTGACTGTCTTTTGGATGGGGGGTTCGACCGTGCCCTTTAATTACATTTTTAAAATCTGTTTTCTAGGCATCTATGGAATCAATTCGTGATTCCCTAGCCGAGGAGTTGGTTAAAATGACTGCCCAGGTGAGTTTTGTGTTTGAACTTTCTTTTTTCCCCCCTCCCTCCCTTCTGTTTTTCTATGTTATCATACTCTTATTTTGAACACTAAATATGTATGTGGCAGTGCGAAAAATTACGGACTGAAGCTGCCTTGTTGCCTGGCTTACGTGCGGAGCTAGAGGCATTGCGAAGAAGACATTCGTCGGCACTTGAGTTAATGGGTGAACGTGATGAGGAGGTAGATCATTTCTGTTCTTTTTTGACTTTTGAATATAAATTAGGTACAGAATACAATTTTTCTGGTGCTTTTTCTTGAGGTAACTTTCTAGAGATGGAACTTCCATTCTGTTTCTTCTGCGTGAAAAATGAGATGCAAGCTATAGTTTTGGTATGGAAGGTCGAATGCATTGGTTAGAATTTCACAGGCGTAGTTGGGTTTTGAGATTGGTCTTGTAGTGAATGGACTTTACCAATGCCTCCTTTGCTTGAGGAAATTCTTACATCGGCTCTGAAATCCTGACATTTCTGGGATGATGTTGTTAATGTACGGTTGCAACATCCATCAATATTTAACGAGAAACTTAAGCATTAGTTATCAGCGGCAGTATATGCTAACATTATATTCTCATGTATTGGGCTTACAGAACACCGCTGCTCTCTTCTTATTTTTAGTTATATGCTAACTTGTGCGATTAATGATTTTGCTTAGTTGGAAGAACTCCGTGCCGACATTATTGACTTGAAGGAGATGTATAGGGAACAAGTAAACTTGCTTGTAAATAAGGTATCTCATCGTTCACGTTGTAGTGTTCTTCACCGCAAGTCTGTAACTAGCATTCTCTGCCTTGTGTTCTGGAGTTGTAATACATTGGACTTCGACTTGCTTGTGTTTTGCATGCAGATCCAGGTAATGAGTTCGACGATGGGTGCTGCTTGATGGTTGCTTTTGTTCCGTCGGCTATACTTTCTTTGTAGTAAATGTTTGTAGTAAAGGCAACAATACATTTCGTATACAAGTCAGCAAAAAGGAGATTTCGTTTTGTTTTACTTTGTGCTCCATATACTTTTTGTGTTTTGCATGAAGAAATGTAACGCGCGCTTCTGTATTGACTGTATTGTCCATTTTGTTATTTTGGTCTAAAGGTGTACAGCGTAAAGCTTAGTGTTTTGCTCTGGACTTGCAGCATCGATAAAATTTTCATCGATCCAAGTGTAGAACTGAAGTCAACTTTTCTCAATGCTGTACATTAATCACTTGTTTCTATTGACTTTGTTATCATTTTGAATTTCAGACGGAAATGAATAAAGTTGGGAACGACTTGGGTTGTGCTTTCAAGATTTTATCAAAATGGGATAGTGTCATCTTTTGAAATATAGATGAGAGAAAGAAGTAGGGTGTGTGTGTGTGTGTGTGTGTGTGTGTTGGGGGGAAGAGAACAGAAGAAGGATCATTATTGTGTTTCTTTTCTTGATGGACGACGAGGAGGACTACTCTCTTTTGGGTCGGTCACGTATCTTGTTCTCTTTTCCATGTATTTCCAGCTACAGAAACTAATTGTACAATTATCATTAACTGCTAACATTATTCCACGTAAGATGTTCAATTATCATTAATTATCAACATTAAATACTAATTCCGCGTGCAGTATTTATTTTCTTAAAACGGATGGTTCCGTTGAGTCTCTTCCTTCTCTCACCAAAGTCCTCTGCAACTTTTTTTCTTCCTCTCTCAAGGCCTCCAATTTTTTGAAAGAATTGGTTATCTTGTTTCTAGGTAAAATCTTGAGTTCGAACGCTAGCTGCCTTGTCCCAGACCATACATAGGACCGAAGAGGCGTGGTAGTTCAACGCCTTAGGCGCGATGCCTCGTCGGAACTGCGAAGCAAGATGAATGATTTCTTTTTTGGTGTTGAACGGGAGGCCTTGGTGCTCTGGAGATTCAAGAGCTTGTAACTTTCAATAAGACTGAAGCGCAAGATAAAAACCAGGAGATATGCACACCAAATGTTTGAAATGCAAGCAAGGCGTATGACATCAGAGTTTGGAGGTGAAAGGACTTGTGAAGCGCATCGCAGCGATAAACTGATGAGATAGAAACACGGAGAAAAAAATTGTTATGATTTGCATAGAAGAACATATTCGATGAATATATGTTTGCTTGATCCATGGAACTATTTTTGGGATCTATTAGAAGTTTGAGAAGTTAAAGGGATGCTTAATGTTGGTAATTAATGATGACGGCACAGTTGGCACCAGCTTTGACAACCGGAACTGGAGCGAGACTTGGGTCGGTCATCAATTCAGGGAGATGCAGAAAGTTAACCGGCAATCTCTATAAGAATGGGAGAATGAAACTTTGTCCAACCAAAAAAAGGAAAAAGGCACAATTGCCCCCTCGACTTAGTAGTCAGATACTACTGCTAGAGAGAGAGTATTACCGCTAATGTTTATCTTGCGGCGCCACGCACGCTAGCGTCTTCCCCGTCATTCTCAGCCCGTCTCTATCATTTGGTCGAGATTTCATTTCCTCCATTTTCTTCCCTTAAACTCAACGATACGCACATGTATATAGAGCCAAAAGCCATTACTGCCGCACTTAAAACCGTAGAGGTACGTCACTCCACTACAAGTCGCCTCTTTTTCCACCTGCATGCTAATGCCATTCATTGTCTCTATATTTCAAGCCTCTTTTTTTTTTCGCTTTCTTTCTACAATGTTATGTATAATTCCAATCTATCTGCATTGGCTTACGAACGTGGACGAGTGAATTTATCCAATTGAACTTTATTCCAAATTGTACGTGAATCGACGATATATGGCTGCATAACCTCGCGAGTGTTCTGATTTTGATTATATGCGACGCAGCAGTATATTATACATAGATCATACAAACACAGAAAAACAAGGCTGATGATACCTTGTTTCGTCTGTCTAGATCATCTGAAAGCGCCAAAGCCATCGAGCCATTGGAATTTTGGTTTCTCGAAAGGTGAGTATATATGAAAGGATTAAATGCATTGGATTCAAGAGTCTTCAGTTTTATATTTTCGGATCTGATGGTAAAATTTTAGCATTTTTATTTCTCTCTTTGCATAGCATAACCCAGATTTTAGTGATGTGGGGGCGCCAACGCAACTTGTACTCAACCTATAAGCGTATCTCGTCAAAAGAGCGTCTCAACGGCAACGCCTCAGAAGACAGCCTCGGTACATTTTTCTCTTTTAAGCTTTAGTAACCTTCAGCTTCAAAATCACAGAAATGGAATTTAATCCGTGCTCCTACTCAGTTGTATTCCTACCTGAATCCTGAAACCTCTAATTCCTTCTCATTGTTTGAGCGAATTTTGATATTGGGACATTTAGGCCGATCACCGAGTGGTGTCTTAAAAGAAGCTGGACTTCCCTCCTGGAAACGTCCCTTGCCTCATGTACTGGTGGCAACTCTCTCATCCTTCCTATTTGGCTATCACCTCGGGTATTTATACCGCCTCATCTTTCATGCTTTCTTATGCGTGATTTTGCATGATGATCACTTCTTTAATGCTGTTCTTTTTGTTCAGGATAGTTAACGACACATTAGAAAGCATATCTTTGGACCTCAGCTTCAGAGGAAGTACCCTGGCTGAAGGTAATTTCAATTCTTGGTCTTGAACACTACTGTTGTTTGACTAACTAACATTCTTGAATTTCCATCTCATGAGATTTTCTTTTTTATTCTTTTTAAACCCCATTTACAGGGTTGGTCGTGAGTGCGTGTTTGGGAGGTGCTTTTATTGGTTCATTATTCAGTGGCTGGACAGCAGATGGCGTTGGGCGTCGCAGGGCATTCCAGTTGTGTGCTTTACCAATGATCATTGGTGCTTCCGTGAGGTACACAAACATCTTATTGGTCAGTTGCTTGGCAATTGGAAAGCAATCGACCTTGACAAGTGATACTTAACAGTCATACTAAATCTATTTTTTGGCATTTCACAACGTTTAAAGATGGGTTCACCAAATGCTGGGCTAACCTAAATAGGTTGGCAAATTAGCTTTAATATCTCTGAATTTCCGTTGCACTCTCACATTCTATCTTATTATGTTGTAGATCATCTCGCTGTCTAGTATTCATGTCAATATGATAATCAGATAGACGGTCTTTAACTGCTTGTTAGTTCATTTTCAAACTTCCCATCTGCTTCTATATAATCAAATCTACCTTCCAGCAGAGGCCACAATCAAATCGTAAGGCTTTTGGAAATGTTTGTGTTTTGAAGATTAAGTGATCAACTTGGGTGATTCACCACCAAAAATGGAGCGGGGGTGTCACTACATTGAAAGAAACAGCATTGAGTTCTATTCCTTGTTCACTTACTTTTACTTTTGTTGTGGTATAATACATCAATTTGAATTGTACCATTGACGAGAGAGGTAAATACAATCACTAGGTATACCGTATGCCAATTACATCTAACTGACTCAATAAGATAGCATATGGAAACCTTGTCGATTCCTTTCTCTAAGGGACAAAATGGAGATATTCCCAGTATTGAGCTGTCAATCCTCAGTGGGCACTCTTTCAACTATAGATGTGTGGAATAGATGAGAATATAGTGCAATCAAACTAGTAGGCACCACTGACTCAAGCTGTAGAAAGGGCTTGACAATAGGAAATTTCTGTCTTATTTATGTGTGTGTGGTTTTTTTTTTTTTTAAATGTTTTCAAGTTTTATGATCATATCCTGTGTTGTTTGAACCTGAACTATGTTCCACAAACTTGCAGTGCAACCGCAACTACTCTTCGAGGCATGCTTCTTGGAAGGTTATTTGTTGGAATGGGGATGGGTCTTGGGCCTCCTGTAGCAGCTCTTTATGTGGCAGAGGTATCAAACAAGATGGTTTTGTACTTTTAAGGGAAGCTATTGCCAGACACTAATTATACTTATGGTTGATAAATCTGAGCAGGTTTCGCCAGCTTTTGTAAGAGGCACTTATGGGAGCTGCACTCAGATTGCAACATGCCTTGGACTGATGGCCTCTTTCTTTGTTGGGATTCCATCCAAGGAGCTCATGGGTTGGTAAGATGCTTCACATGAATGCTGAAACATGTCGTTTTGTTTTACAAGATCTGCCTTTCTGGTTTATCTACTTTTAGAGTGCCAACAGATTGTCCTTTTCGTCAATGGTGCCACAATGGGCAAGAAATTACGGGCTTACTTTATATAACTACCGGGTCAACTGAAAAGTTAATAGCGATGAATATTCACGGACAAAAATTTGTGTTTTTATCCTGAACAAGTTCTGCTATGATTATCTTTATTAGACTTGCTATAGCACCTGGCCAGAAGATTATTTGACATTCACTTTGTTAAGATTTTAGCGTTCTTATCTGTTTTTGGGCGCCAAGATTTTGTATCCATTTATCTAAAGCAGAAAGTTTGAACCATTTAATGTTTCCTCTTTCCTATGTGCAAGAGAAAGGTAAACAAACACATTTCCACTTTCTCCTTAAGCTTGAATAAACTAATAGTGGAAACCCATATGAATCTCATTTTTCTTGTTAAACCTATTTATCCAGTCTTGATTTTGTGTCAAAATTAGCTAAGACAATGATTAGAGATGTAGAGTTTTAATTAACAATTTAGTCTAATGACGTGCACAGGTGGCGAGTCTGCTTTTGGGTCTCTGCCCTTCCTGCTGCATTACTTGCTATTCTAATGGAATTCTGTGCTGAAAGTCCTCATTGGCTATTTAAGGTGCTCATACCCTTATATGAAATGCTATTGCAAGTTTTAATATCCTTAGGAATGTATTTGGTGAATTTGCAGTGATATTTTTTCAAAAATGCCCATACAATTAATCTTGTCAACCGTTATACATTGCTTTTAAAATCAACGCGATTTGTCTCTAAAACTGGGCAGCCTTCTATCCTAGTATTGATGTTGTCACTTTTAATATCCAACATGCAATGCATATAAATGTGGTGAAATTTAGTATTCAAAATACCAGCTAATAAATGTCTTCATCTGACCAAGATATGCTTATTTCTTTTTTATTCTCATACATTAAAACATGGTTTCTTGTTTTCCGGTGGATACAGCATCTGATAGTATTAACTGTGTATAGTTCATTGTTAAGGATGCTTTGTATCTTTCTCGTTCCCTTTCTCAAACATGAAATTTGCAAAAGATTAATTCTGCACATTGATGCAAAGACCATTTTTGTGTGCTTGATTATTTGTTTTATTAATAGTATCATCTTGGTTCGAAAATCCCTTCCAACTCTGTTCATTTTTAATCACACCTGCATTTGCCTCAGAGAGGAAGAATGGCTGAAGCTGAAGAAAACACTGAGAGGCTGTTTGGAGCATCACATGTTAAATATGCAATGGCTGAATTAACAAAGTCAGATAGGGGGGATGAGGTTGATACTGCTAAGTTTTCAGATTTATTTATTGGTCGTCATGTTAGAGGTACAATTAATTCTCTTGCTGTAATCTTTGTTAAGCATTTTTTCCCACTGACAAACAAAAATATCATTTTCTTGCTCTTTTACTAATTACACCATCACCTTCTGTTTTTGGCAGTGGTTTTTCTCGGTTCCACACTACTTGCCTTGCAACAATTGTCTGGGATAAATGCTGTATTCTACTTCTCTTCAACTGTCTTTACAAGTGCCGGTGTTCCTTCAGACATTGCGAATATATGTGTAGGAATTGTAAATTTATCAGGTACAGGAGTCTAATGCATTTAAACTATCTAAGTAGTTTAATGGCCTCTTCTCTAACCTCTGTAACTTTATCAGGCTCAATTATTGCTATGGTTTTGATGGATAAAATGGGAAGGAAGGGGCTTCTACTTTGGAGTTTCTCAGGCATGGCAAGTAAAATCATCCTCGCTTGTGCTTGATTCGTTGGATGTCATACCATTAGATTTTTAGAAGTCGTGATGATATTGCCATGGAGTGGGAGAGCTTCACAAAAAGCGCATGATTTAGTCGTGATGATATTTCTTGAACTCTAAAGTTGCTTATTTATGCAGGCAGTATCCATGGGTTTCCAAGTCATTGGAGCAAGTTCACTTCTGTCAGGCTCTGTAGTGCTTTACCTATCAGTTGGTGGCATGCTTCTGTAAGTAATTTTCTCAATAGCTGCTGTAGAAAAAAAGAAAAAAAAGCATCTAAGTAATGCGATGATCAGCACTTCACTGCACCTACCAATAATAAATGAGCAGTTTTTTAGCTTCCTTTGAAACTCCTCCAGAAGACCAGAGAGGGAATAGAAAATAAAATCTGTGATAATGAAAAAAGAACAGAAGTGTATGTAACTGCTAACCTAGTGGGAACTAAACATTGGTCTGGAACTAAACATCTATTTTAGTTTTTTTGTAAGAATCTTTGTGCTTTACAGTGTGATGAAGAGAACTTATCTTGTAAATGGACGGGAACTAAAAGCATTAAGTTTTTAAACAAGTGTGTTTGGACAGTAAACCCCCGAAGCAGAGACTTCCTGTGGCTCCCCTTCCATGAGCTCCCTACCAAGAATGACCTGCGATCCTGTGCAGCGGCAGGATTATGGATTAAAAGATCATCAAAGACTGTAACCAGGAGCCAAAGACAACTGAATAACCCTTTTTGATTGTCAAAAAAAAAAAGCCATTCTGGGAGTTTTTTCCTACATGACCCACCAGCTGAAATTTTGAATTGCTATTTTTATTTGGAAGTAATGCACGAAATGTACGACTATTTTTCAGACCGTTTAAGATATAGTGTCCAAGTGCAGGTGACAAGCTGTTTTTTCTGATTGTGATGCTGTTTATTCAGGTTTGTGTTGACATTTTCTTTGGGTGCTGGCCCAGTCCCTAGTCTGCTGCTGTCGGAGATACTTCCAGCCCGAATTAGGGAAAAGGCCATGGCTGTCTGTATGGCCGTGCATTGGGTAATGATGCTCTCACCTGTTACACATATGATTGTTCATGCTCTGCTTTGTTGTTTTTTCAATGGGAATGCTGTTAAGAAAGCTTTTGCTCACACTGCTCTGTTACTTCGCTGACGGTAAATTTCAAGAATAATTTGAAGCATTTTTATGTATGATCATAGTTGGCATTTGCAGTAGCTGTGGCTTCATTTAAGTTCGGTACTTAATTGTTTCTTAATGTATAATCAGGTCATAAATTTTTTTGTTGGTCTGCTGTTTTTGCGGTTACTGGAGCAACTTGGCCCACAAATTCTCTACGCGTCCTTCGGCATCTTTTGCTTTGTCGCAGTAGTCTTTGTGAGGAAAAATATTGTCGAAACAAAAGGGAAGACGCTTCAAGAAATTGAGATGGCATTTCTTCCAGCTGATTAGTGGTGCTGCGGCTGATTTATCTGCTAAGGTATCTGGTACTGAAATGCAATTGGATATCGATTTCTAAAGCAAAACTAATTTAATTTTCTTTGCAGCACAAGGGTTCTATAATTATGGGACATTAGCTTCAAGAGAAATTTGAGCAATTACTGATCAAATGCTAGTCAAAATATGTAGAATTTATTCTTATTTTGTGGTCATTTCACTGTTATTCTGCAGAGGTGTATGGCTAGAGGACATTCGGGAGAGAGAACAATCCGAAGCATACACTTCACTTAATGGCGTGATCCTGCAATACTCTCGTATAGTGCCTCGTACATTCTGTGAGCAAATAGCAAGACCTCTCTGCTGCAATTTTTAGCAACTATTTTAGAGTTAGCATAACCTTGTATCGTTATTAGATTAGATGCAATATTTGCCGCAGTTAGAAATTGGTTCAAGTGCAGGTGGTGTGCTGTGCTGTGCTGCAGCAGTTAGAAATTGGTAGGAATAATGATTGCATCAATTAATGGGGGCGATTACTACGCTCAGAAGGATTCTTCTTTTGATTTCACTTCATACCAGTCCCAGTTTCGCTTGCGTTTCCTTTTTTATCTTCCATATGGCTTGACTGCCTGCTGAAAACTTTTTAACCTGTATCTGACGAAGAAAAATAATTCTATTGGAACGTCGGGCATGGTAATTTTTCGCTTAATAATTAAGACGGCAATCCCCGCCATAAACCCAGCTTCTAGAAAACGGGGAAATTTCTAGTTTTATGTGCTTTGTCGCTGGTCCAACTGGCTGGATTTGACAGGAAACTTGGACTGAACTTCCAGTCAGAAATTGTTTCCATATTTTTCGGCTACCGATCACTTTCTAGCTCCATATTCTATAATCTATCCATCGTGAAAGATATTATTGTACATCACATTGACTTTTACAAATCTGTAAATTTCCCAAAAGAAAACAAAAAAGGAGTTTTCGACGACTTGTTCCGAATCCGAATGAAGAAGGCCGCCATCCAAAGAATGAAAAAATGAAAAAAAAATAAAAGTCAAGAAGATAGGCATTGGCACATGCTACTAATGAGCGTATGATAAATATGTGAAAGCATTTGGCAAATGGGAAAAGTTTCGGTATATTTCTCGTTTCATAGTGAGCAGAATTTAGGTGACCAAATGGGAAAAGTGGAAGCCACAGATGTAGCAGTAGAAACTGATCCAAAACAGGGAGGAGAAGCAGTGGTCTCATTTCCTCCGGTAGCACAAGCAGGAGGAGTGTCGCTTGCACCGCCTACTTTCGTAGGAAGCCCATGGAGTACAGGCTTGTTCGACTGCCATGAAGACAAAACAAATGGTAAACGCTCTTTCTTGTTTATTCTCTCCATTTGTTCTTAGTAACTGAAGATAAACCAGATTAGAGTCAATCTCAAAAGTTATAGACCAGATATATGATATATCATTGTCCAGAAGCTCAAGACATTTGGACTTCGTGTTTAGAATGGAATGAATAAACTATATATATATATATATATATATATATATATATATATTTGGCGGTAAAGAACTGGACGGTAACGATGGAGAGGGCAAGCGATGGTTGGGGATGGGGTTGTGGCCTGTTAGAAACCAAGGCTTATGGGAACATGCGAAATAAAGTCCTTTGAATCACTCTGGAAAGGTATTTCACCACGGGAATTTCAATTTCTTAACAAACTACAATATGCACAGAAAGAAGTTCAATTAGGATGAAGATTGCATGAATTGTGGTTTCTGGACAAATATTTCTTGGTGGACGGTTCCGAAAATTGAAGCTGGTTGATGTATGGTAGTCAATAACCATGATTATTTTACTGACAAGAACGTTGATTACTAACAGTCAGAAACACTATCACAAATTTGTAATTCGTGATTTCTCTGTCTGCTGCTTCTTTGATGATTGATGATGAACTCTAGATCTGATCTTTACATATTTCTCCTTCCTCACTTTAAAAATGATCTGATATTATTTGGCAGCCGTTATGACTTCATGCTGCCCCTGCGTGACATTTGGTCAGATTGCAGAAGTCCTAGATGCTGGAGAACTGAGTATGGCCTCTGTTCTTGGGTTCTGATTTGACTGAGTCTTTAAAATTTAGGCAAACTAAGCTCAAGCTGATTCATGTTTGATTGATGGTTGCAGCTAGTCCTGTGGGCACTTTCATTTACCTCTTGATGATGCCTGCTCTCTGCTCTCAATGGATCATGGGGTCCAAATATAGAACAAAACTGAGAACCAGATATGGTCTAGTTGAAGCACCTTATCAAGATGTATTCTCTCACATCTTCTGCTCCTGTTGTTCACTTTGTCAGGAATTTCGAGAGCTCAGGAACAGGGATCTTGATCCTGCTTTAGGTACTTCTACTTTCGATGTATGAGAATATATTCTGAGCATTGGTAAACTCAGCATAGCATGGACACTAGTCACAACTCACCAACCTGTTTAGTTCATTTAGCAACTCTAATATCGTGGTGGTAACAACCTGGGAAATTGCTTTGCAGGCTGGAATGGAATCCTCGCTCGACAACAAGGAATGCAGTATGGATATCCACATGCAACAAATCCTCCCTCTGTTCAGTCCATGTCCAAGTAAAGATTGTCAGATTTCATTGTTTGATACATTGTTGACTCTGAATTCTCTACCATAAGAAAGTCTACGAGTTGTGTGTGTGCAAGTGCGTGTGTGAACTGTAAACAGAATAAGGTCGGTCTAAGCGTGAAAGTGTAAATCCTTTTGCAGTAAACATTTGTGTTGTTTGTTACAACTTGGAGGCCGGCTCTTTTTACCAGCAGACAAACTATGGATTAACGTCCCTTTAGAGCTCGTTTCGAGTTGATTTGAAACCTTGCTGGCTAAGAAATTCTCGTCTTTCATTGAACTCTAAAAAGCCAAACTGAAGCATTAGAAGGATCTCAACCAATTCTAACTCTAATGGATGAACAAAGACTGCTTTGACATTTTCCACAGGAGAGCGCGATTCTTCCACCAAACCAAGTCGTCAACTGGAAGATACCCACCTTTACTTCTAGCACCACGCTTTAATATCAGAAGGCGTTAACTTTTAAGCCCTTATAAATCGCGTCATCTGTGCCATACGTACAACAAAATTACAAAACTTCCGCGCCTTGTAATAGTAGTAACGAGTAAGGTACGACCCATATACAATTCGCCCTCACATGAACCTCAGGCTGGTGGCTACCACCAAAACATTAAAATCCTAAACTCCCATCAATTGCCACATTAAAAAGTGATTTTGATCAAAAAATTCAGGCGGGTGCGTAGTACACCCGTTTGGTTCGGTGGTGATTCAGTTCCTTCCGAGTTATTCTGAACTTTCTTAAGTCCGCCCCCTCCGCCTAGTGTAGGAGACCCTGGAAAAAAAAAATAAAAAGAACCTCTTTATGGGATGCCATATATACAACAGAAATAGAGGCCTCGAAGGCCTTTTATCAGCATTTATAAATTGTCAATTTTAGCAATTCTGATTTTTGCTTTAAGTTAACAAATTTAGCATTTTTATACCTTATATTAGCAATTTGTTTCATATTGTTTCGAATCAGTTGAATATCAATAAATTTTTCTTTCCATTCTATAAAATAAAAAAAGGACTTAGGTACCCCTAATCTGTTTCCGTTCACTAAAATCCTCTCCTTCATCGAGGCATTTTAAAGACTTTTTATTCCAAAAAAAAAAAAAAAGCTATTAAATTTTGTTACTAGTTTTTAGCTGATATGAATAATGTACTTCAAATTAATCGTGTGAGGTATTTCAATGCTAAGATTAGTTATGTTTATCTGAAAAATGCTGATCACAGTTGAATGTGCAAATCATAGTAAGCCACAAACTCAACCCGTCCTAGTTGCAATTATACGTCTTAAGAACGCTCTGCCTCAAGAAAGAGGCTAGACACTCGCATGAGGGGGCCTCTGCAGTTGATTCTTTCCTGTTCAGCTCAATTATTGTAATTTTTACAATTTTGACGTAAATTTGTAGAATTCTGATGTAATAATGAATCTATATATCCAAAAGAAAGTTGTTAATTTAATTATTCATTTTCTCTTTCCCAGGCAGTATGCTAAATGAAGAGAATTGGTGGGTCACTTAGATATTTGGGTTTTATCCATATTCACATCCAACTCTTCTCCAATCAAAATTTCTCACAATCTCTCTCTCTCTCCTAGCAACTTGGTCCATTTTGATAAATTTGAATTATTTTTTGTTTTTATTTTTCTTTCTATTCTATCAAACTATATATTTTTATTTATAAATACACTTTCTATTTTATCCATATTTATTAGCTTTATTTAGTGTTATTTTACTTGTTACTTAATTAATGTTGTCAGAAACTTAATATTTGTTTATGGAGAAAATATATTTTTGCATATCTGGTAGTTAATTAAACATAGATATATATTTTTAGGTTTTTAATCATGCAAAAATTTAATAACTAATTAAGAGATATCTATTAACCTGTTCGTATTCCTTGCATCTCTTATGAATAATATTATATTCAAATAAACATATGAATAAAAGTTTTCAAAGATTAATATGTTATCTGAACACTTAAATATTCATGTGTATGTAAGAATATTATTTTATTTTTTAAAATTATTTATGCTTCCATAAAATCACAACTAATAATAATACAAAAAATCATGCTAATGCACAGGTTAAAATACTTGTTAATTATATATGATTGGACAAAATTTAAATTTACACCAAAATTCTATTTTGTTCAAGAAAATATTATTTACACTCCCATTTTTGTTAATCAATTGCACAAATGGACAAGTTTGTTAATCAATTGCACAAATGGACAAGCTGGACAAAACTTCGAACCCGGACTCGTATAAAAACCCCGCCTATGTTTTACGACATTTATGCAATTCGTTTATTGTCTCTTCTCAAACTCTCAACCAGCATATCCATCAAAGCTTCCAACCAAACCTCCCCAAAATATTACTGATGTGTTGTAATCTACAATATCAACTAGAAGTAGTGTGAACAGTTCTTAAAGAAATGTGAACCAAAATTTCAGCAGGTTGTTCATCTGAACCTGTGGCGCGATTAGTTTGAATGAGTGAGCAGTGATGATATGGTGACAGTGGCCATAAATAAATTGAGCGGTAATTGCCGTAATTACTGTTCCCACCTAAGTATGACTTCATTTAATCCCAAGCCAGCCTTCAACTGCCAGCTCCAGCTACTTGTTAGTCTCAGACGTCTTCCAAAAAATTCATCTTCTTCTTTTGTCAAGACCAGAATTTTATGTCCTCTGCCTCTTCTTCAAGTTTTTCGCGAAAATCCCACCAATCCCACTTCCCAAGTTCGGTTTCTTTCCTCCGGTAAGAGCCCTTTTCATAATCTAATAGCCTTTCGTTTGACTTATTAACTTATGACCTTCGTATTGTATATCATATGTTTGTAAGTACGTGTAAATGGGGTATATTGGACTCTGCTTTTGTTATCCTGTTACAATATCAGTTGTATATCAAAAAGGGGAGGTGTGGAAGGAGAAACAGGAAAGGGGAATGGGGACGGTTAGGAATTGAAGAAGGAATATTTGATTATCAAGCCAAAGCAGGAGCGGTAAGGAACTTATGGAATACATAAGTTCCGGTATTGGTGAATCAAGTTTTGAAATTTTTGGGGGCTTTGGACTAGTTTTGCTTAAGTAGGAGAAAGTAATTTTTTTCCTCTTTGATGGTATTGGTATTTCATGACAATGGTCTCTCTGAAACTGCCTGGAACTCTTGAAAGATGTTGCAGCTAAAACTGCAGCTCACTTTTCTCTTCTTCCTCCTGTTGTTAGCACATCAACTGAGCTTGATCAGTCACATAACGGAGAGCTGAATGTTATTGAGCGGGTACAGGGAATAGAAAACTTTAGTGAGATCGAAGGTGTTTGCCTTTGGTTTTGTGTATGTTTACGACAAGTTTAAATGCTCAAATTACAGTATTCTCTTTGCTGACTTTCATGTCCAAATGTAGATGAGAAACCGGCATTAATACTGTACACTAGCGGCACAACAGGTAAACCAAAAGGAGTTGTTCATGCACACAGAAGCATCTTGGCTCAGGTATTTTTATTACTTGCCTGTCATTTATATTGTGTGTACTTGGTCTAAAACAAAATGAAATGGGAAAATGTTCTTTTAGTTTTTCCAATTACTCTAGACCTTTCCTTAATCTGGAAAATGTCAGACTTTTGGCAGGGTAAGATGTGCTTGTATGGTGAATATGCGTTATAATAAGACAACAAAAATTGATTGCCATGCAATGCTCTTCTTTCACGTACAAGGCAGAGCAATATGTTGTCAATTTTACTTGCATAATGCAAAATGCTTGCTGTCAACTCTTTCTTTCTAAAGTGTGCTTTTTGGAAGTTGGAACTGTTAGGTTTTGACTGAAGCGTATTTCCTTTTCATTGCACTTCTGTTTCACCTTGAAATAATCATTACGATGGTTTGCTTAATTTCAGGTTCAAATGTTGGCAAATGCTTGGGAGTACTCACCTATTTGCTTTTCCCATCTCTTCTCCTATTTGCTGGGTTGATATGCTGTATAAGTTCGATGAAATGTTGGTTATATGTCTAGCCTTAACTTCTACCAACATGTGCACGGCCTTTTCAATGCTTTGCTTGCTCCTCTATACGCTGGTTCTGTGGTAAGTTCTTATATATTTCCACATGTTCAAAGTTGTAACGGAAATTATACTGCAAATTTATGCTATAACTTTCCTGCCAAAGAATCAATAATGTCTTGTTGCAGCACTTGTGATATTGCTTGTCCCTTTTTTTTTTTTAAAGGTGGAGTTCATGCCAAAATTTAGCGTTGGGGGAATTTGGCAGGGATGGCGGGAATCATATCCAAGAAAAGAGACAAAAGTTGATGATGCTATAACTGTATTTACAGGGGGAAGTGAGAAATATGCTGCTTATGTAATGTCATAATTCTATGTCTCTAGGTGGTTATAAATAACCACGTTATTTACTTATATTCTCAGGATGGTTCCTCATGAGGCAACAATAATTATACCTGTTTGAAGTCATTCAATATACCTGTAATTTCCGGAGAGCTTTTGTCATTTTAATGGTGTAGTTCATGTTTTCCCTTTGCATGATGCAGGTTCCAACTATGTATACACGATTAATACAAGGTTATGAAGCTATGGATCCTGAGTTACAAGGGTTCTATAATTATGGGACATTAGCTTCAAGAGAAATTTGAGCAATTACTGATCAAATGCTGGTTAAAATATGTAGAATTTATTCTTATTTTGTGGTCATTTCACTGTTATTCTGCGGAGGTGTATGGCTAGAGGACATTCGGGAGAGAGAACAATCCGAAGCATACACTTCACTTAATGGCGTGACCCTGCAATACTCTCGTATAGTGCCTGGTACGTTCTGTGAGCAAATAGCAAGGCCTCTCTGCTGCAATTTTTAGCAACTATTTTAGAGTTAGCATAACCTTGTATCGTTATTAGATTAGATGCTGTATTTGCAGCAGTTAGAAATTGTTCGGAATAATGACTGCATCAATTAATGGGGGCGATTACTACTACGTTCAGAACAGAAGGATTCTTCTTTTGATTTCACTTCATAACAGTCCCAGTTTCACTTCCTTGACTGCTTGCTGAAAACTTTTGTACTTGTATCTGACGAAGAAAAATAATTCTATTGGAAAGTCGGGCATGGTAATTTTTTGCTTAATATTCCAGTAATTAAGACGGCAATGCCCGCCATAAACCCAGCTTCTAGAAAACGGGGAAATTCCAAGTTTTATTTGCTTTGTCGCTGGTGCAACTGGCTGGATTTGATAGGAAACTTGGACTGAACTTCCAGTCAGAAATTGTATATTTTTCAGCTACTTACCCATTACTTTCTAGCTCCATATTCTATAATCTATCTATCGTGAAAGATATTATTGTGCATCACATTGACTTTTCGACGACTTGCTCCGAATGAAGAAGGCCGCCATCCAAAAAATGAAAAAATAAAAATAAAAAAAATCAAGAAGATAGGCATTGGCACATACTACTACTAAAGAGCGTATGATAAATATATGAAAGCAGTTGGCATGCCATCTACTTCCAGCATATTTCTCGTTTTGTGGTGAGCAGAACGAGAAAGATATAAAGCATCCTTAACAATGATCGTGACTTTAAAATTTAAAGTGGAAGCCACAGATGTAGCAGTAGAAACTGATCCAAAACAGGGAGGAGAAGCAGTGGTCTCATTTCCTCCAGTAGCACAAGGAGGAGGAGTGTCGCTGGCACCGCCTACTTTCGTAGGAAGCCCATGGAGTACAGGCTTGTTCGACTGCCATGAAGACAAAACAAATGGTAATCGCTCTTTCTTGTTTGTTCTCTCCAGTTGTTCTTAGTAACTGAAGATAAACCAGATTAGAGTCAATCTCAAAACCAGATATATCATTGTCCAGAAGCTCAAGACATTTGGACTTCGTGTTTAGAATGGAATGAATAAACTATATATATATATATATATTTTGGCGGTGAAGAATTGGACGGTAACGATGGAGAGGGCAAGCGATGGTTGGGGATGGGGTTGTGGCCTGTTAGAAACCAAGGCTTATGGGAACATGCGAAATAAAGTCCTTTGAATCACTCTGGAAAGGTATTTCACCACGGGAATTTCAATTTCTTAACAAACTACAATATGCACAGAAAGAAGTTCAATTAGGATGAAGATTGCATGAATTGTGGTTTCTGGACAAATATTTCTTGGTGGACGGTTCCGAAAATTGAAGCTGGTTGATTATTTTACTGAAAAGAACGTTGATGACTAACAGTCAGAAACACTATCATAAATTTGTAATTCGTGATTTCTCTGTCTGTTGCTTCTTTGATGAATGATGATCAACTCTAGATCTGATCTTTACATATTTCTCCTTCCTCACTTTAAAAATGATCTGATATTATTTGGCAGCCGGTATGACTGTATGCTGCCCCTGCGTGACATTTGGTCAGATAGCAGAAGTCCTAGATGCCGGAGAACTGAGTATGGCCTCTGTTCTTGGGTTCTGATTTGACTGAGTCTTTAAAATTTCACCAAACTAAGCTCAAGCTGATTCATGTTTGATTGATGGTTGCAGCTAGTCCTGTGGGCACTTTCATTTACCTCTTGATGATGCCTGCTCTCTGCTCTCAATGGATCATGGGTTCCAAATATAGAACAAAACTGAGAACCAGATATGGTCTAGTTGAAGCCCCTTATCAAGATGTATTTTCTCACATCTTTTGCTCCTATTGTTCACTTTGTCAGGAATTTCGAGAGCTCAGGAACAGGGATCTTGATCCTGCTTTAGGTACTTCTACTTTCGATTTATGAGAATATATTCTGAGCATTGGTAAACTCAGCATAGCATGGACACTAGTCACAACTCACCAAACTCTTTAGTTCATTTAGCTACTCAATATCGTGGTGGTAACAACCTGGGAAATTGCTTTGCAGGCTGGAATAGAATCCTCGCTCGACAACAAGGAATGAAGTATGGATATCCACATGCAACAAATCCTCCCTCTGTTCAGTCCATGTCCAAGTAAAGATTGTCAGGTTTCGTTGGTTGATACAATGTTGACTCTGAATTCTGTACCACAAGAAGTCTACGAGTTGTGTGCTTGTGAACTGTAAACAGAATAAGGTCGGTCTAAGCGTGAAAGTGCAGATCTTTTTGCAGTAAACATTTGTGTTGTTTGTTACAACTTGGAGGCCGGCTCTTTTTACCAGCAGACAAACTATAGATTAACGTCCCTTTAGAGCTCGTTTCGAGTTGATTTGAAACCTTGCTGGCTAAGAAATTCTCGTCTTTCATTGAACTCTAAAATGCCAAACTGAAGCATTACAGGATCTCATCCAATTCTAACTCTAATGGATGAACAGAGGCTCCTTTAACATTTTCCACTGGAGAGCACGATTCTTCCACCAAACCAAGTCGTCAACCGGAAGGTACCCACCTTTACTTCTAGCACCACGCTTTAATATCAGAAGGCGTTAACTCTTTTTTTTTTTTTTCAACAAACGAGAAGGCGTTAACTCTTAAGCCCTTATAATCGCGTCATCCGTGCCATACGTACAACAAAATTACAAAACTTCCGCGCCTTGTAATAGTAGTAACGAGTAAGTTACGACCCATATATAATTCGCCTTCACACTGTGATGAAAAAAAATATATATATATATAATTCGCCTTCACATGAACCTCTTTATGGAACCACCAGCTTTGGGCTGTTCGCCACCACTAAATCATTAAATCTTATTGGAATCCTAAACGCCCATCAATTGCCACATTAAAAAGTGATTTTAATCAAAAAGTTTAGACTGGTGCGCAGTGCATCCATTTGGTCCGGTGGTGATTCAGTTTCTTCCGAGTTATTCTGGACTTTCTTAAGTCCGCCCCCTCCTCCTAGCGTAGGAGACCCTGGAAAAAAAAAATAAAAAGAACATCTTTATGGGATGCCATATATGCAACAGAAATAGAGGCGTCGAAGCCCTTTATCAGCATTTATAAATTGTCAATTTTAGCAATTCTGATTTCTGCTTTAAGTTATCAAATTTAGCATTTTTATACCTTATATTAGCAATTTGTTTCATATTGCTTCCGAATTAGTTGAATATCAATAGATTTTTCTTTCATTCTATAAAATAAAAAAAGGACTTGGGTACGCCTAATCTGTTTCCGTTCACTAAAATCCTCTCCTTCATCGAGGCATTTTAAAGACTTTTTATTCCAAAAAAAAAAAAAGCTATTAAATTTTGTTACTAGTTTTTAGCTGATATGAATAATGTACTTCAAATTAATCGTGTGAGGTATTTCAATGCTAAGATTATTATGTTTATCTGAAAAATGCTGATCACAGTTGAATGTGCAAATCATAAGTAAGCCACAAACTCAACCCGTCCTAGTTGCAATTATACGTCTTAAGAACGCTCTGCTTCAAGAAAGAGGCTAGACACTCGCACAAGGGGCCTCTGCAGTTGATTCTTTCCTGTTCAGCTCAATTATTGTATTTTTTACATAAATTTGTAGAATTCTGAAGTAATAATGAATCTATATTTTGTTAATTTAATTATTCATTTTCTCTTTCCTAGGCAGGATGCTAATTGAAGAGAATTGGTGGGTCATTTAGATATTTGGATTTTATCCATATTCACATCCAACTCTTCTCTAATCAAAATTTCTCACAATCTCTCTCTCTCCTAGCAACTTAGTCCATTTTGATAAATTTGAATTATTTTTTGTTATTATTTTCCTTTCTATTCTATCAAACTGTATTTTTATTTATAAATACACTTTCTATTTTATCCATATTTATTAGCTTTATTTAGTGTTATTTTACTTGTTACTTAATTAATGCTGTCAGAAACTTAATATTTGTTTATGGAGAAAAAATATTTTTGCATATCTGGTAGTTAATTAAACATAGATATATATTTTTAGGTTTTTAATCATACAAAAATTTAATAACTAATTAAGAAATATCTATTAACCTTTTCGTATCCCCTGCATATCTTATGAATAATATTATATTCAAATAAACAAATGAATAAAAGTTTTCAAAGAGCCCGCCTGTGTTTTACGACATTTATGCAATTCGTTTATTGTCTCTTCTCAAACTCTCAACCAGCATATCCATCAAAGCTTCCAACCAAACCTACCCAAAATATTACTGATGTGTTGTAATCTACAATATCAACTAGAAGTAGTGTGAACAGTTCTTAAAGAAATGTGAACCAAAATTTCAGCTGGTTGTTCATCTGAACCTGTGGCGCGATTAGTTTGAATGAGTGAGCAGTGATGATATGGTGAGAGTGGCCATAAATAAATTGAGCGGTAATTGCCGTAATTACTGTTCCCACCTAAGTATGACTTCATTTAATCCCAAGCCAGCCTTCAACTGCCAGCTCCAGCTACTTATTAGTCTCAGACGTCTTCCAAAAAATTCATCTTCTTCTTTTGTCAAGACCAGAATTTTATGTCCTCTGCCTCTTCTTCAAGTTTTTCGCGAAAATCCCACCAATCCCACTTCCCAAGTTCGGTTTCTTTCCTCCGGTAAGAGCCCTTTTCATAATCTAATAGCCTTTCGTTTGACTTATTAACTTATGACCTTCGTATAGTATATCATATGTTTGTAAGTACGTGTAAATGGGGTATATTGGACTCTGCTTTTGTTATCCTGTTACAATATCAGTTGTATATCAAAAAGGGGAGGTGTGGAAGGAGAAACAGGAAAGGGGAATGGGGACGGTTAGGAATTGAAGAAGGAATATTTGATTATCAAGCCAAAGCAGGAGCGGTAAGGAACTTATGGAATACATAAGTTCCGGTATTGGTGAATCAAGTTTTGAAATTTTTGGGGGCTTTGGACTAGTTTTGCTTAAGTAGGAGAAAGTAATTTTTTTCCTCTTTGATGGTATTGGTATTTCATGACAGTGGTCTCTCTGAAACTGCCTGGATACGGTAATGTGCTTTGAGCTTTTCTGCTTTAGCAATTCAATTATTAGGGCTAACAGGATGGAGGATATACTATATCGTGTAATTTGCCTGCATAGATCATGGTTGTTTCCTTTTAAAAATGCAGCATCAAGGAGTAATTTGCTGATGGAGCTGGTCAAAGCAGTTGCAAGCAAAGGGTCTCAAACAGGGCAGAGCATTGCCGTAAGATCTGAACAGAAAAGCTATAGTTACCATCAACTCATATCATCTGCTTGGAGGATTTCTACTCTGTTATGCAATGGTGGTCTGAAAACTGTGAGTTGAAAAATTGAACTGCTCTTATGGCTTTCAGTTTATGTGTGATTCTGGATAACTAGTGTATCGGTGCTCTCTAAGTTTCCTCTATTTCATCATGATTGCTTAGCAAGTTGGAAAAAGGGAATATTCCAATGATTTCATACTTGTACTGTGTCAAAGCAATACCTTTACCTCAATTCATATTTGTTTGATCTGAGGCATTCTAGTTTTAGAATCTGATCGTGGCACAAATAATTGGATTTTGACAGGCTGTGGATCTCAAAGGAAATAAGCATCTTGGTGGAATTAGGATAGGCATTGTAGCTAAACCTTGTGCCGAGTTTGTTGCTGGCATACTTGGAACTTGGCTCAGTGGAGGTGTTGCAGTTCCTCTTGCACTTAGCTATCCAGAGGCTGAGCTACTGCATGTTATGAATGATTCTGTTAGCTCCACTGAACCATCTAGTTCTCACGTATCTTTTTCTAGTTGATTTGATATTCTCCTGACTTTTTTCATTAAAAAAAAAAAAAACCTTTGATATATTTCATGAAGTCAAAGAAAGATTTTATTTTCTTTCTAATTTTACAGTCAGGTTTGTTGTCTAAGTGTGAAGTGTTTCATTTAAACTGATTAATGTACCTAGTGTAAGTTTTGGACTTTGCTTCCCTCTATTCGACTAGATTTTGAAGCATATCTGGCAATTATTTGATCTTCATTATTGTAGCTTTTTCTAGTTCTACTAATGATTTGTTGGCTATTAGCATATATAGTATGTGCAAAAACTTTTTTAAGTAAAAATGTAGCATTTGCCAAATTATTGTATTGACCTACACAAACTTGCGATTTTACTAGAATTGAAGAAATTTAAAAGTATGTTTTAGTGTGATAATCATTTGCTTTGACTATACAGTAAAATCTGTGTGTGAATGTGATTCTTAGGACGTCTCCATGATTTTGAGTACTGAAGATCATCAGGAAATCTTGAAAGATGTTGCAGCTAAAACTGCAGCTCACTTTTCTCTTCTTCCTCCTGTTGTTAGCACATCAACTGAGCTTGATCAGTCACATAACGGAGAGCTGAATGTTATTGAGCGGGTACAGGGAATAGAAAACTTTAGTGAGATCGAAGGTGTTTGCCTTTGGTTTTGTGTATGTTTATGACAAGTTTAAATGCTCAAATTACAGTATTCTCTTTGCTGACTTTCATGTCCAAATGTAGATGAGAAACCGGCATTAATACTGTACACTAGTGGCACAACAGGTAAACCAAAAGGAGTTGTTCATACACACGGAAGCATCTTGGCTCAGGTATTTTTATTACTTGCCTGTCATTTATATTGTGTGTACTTGGTCTAAAACAAAATGAAGTGGGAAAATGTTCTTTTAGTTTTTCCAATTACTCTAGATCTTTCCTTAATGTGGAAAATGTCAGACTTTTGGCAGGGTGAGATGTGCTTGTATGGTGAATATGCGTTATAATAAGACAACAAAAATTGATTGCCATGTAAAGCTCTTCTTTCACGTACAAGGCAGAGCAATATGTTGTCAATTTTACTTGCATAATGCAAAATGCTTGCTGTCAAATCTTTCTTTCTAAAGTGTACTTTTTGGAAGTTCGAACTGTTAGGTTTTGACTGAAGCGTATTTCCTTTTCATTGCACTTCTGTTTCACCTTGAAATAATCATTACGATGGTTTGCTTAATTTCAGGTTCAAATGTTGGCAAATGCTTGGGAGTACTCACCTAGTGATCAATTTTTACACTGTTTACCGCTACATCATATCCTTGTCTACAATATATATTCCTGTTGAACACCTATTGCTTGTGGCTGTCATAAAATTTGGCTTTTCCCATCTCTTCTCCTATTTGCTGGGTTGATATGCTGTATAAGTTTGATGAAATGTTGGTTATATGTCTAGCCTTAACTTTTACCAACATGTGCACGGCCTTTTCAATGCTTTGCTTGCTCCTCTATATGCTGGTTCTGTGGTAAGTTCTTATATATTTCCACATGTTCAAAGTTGTAACGGAAATTATACTGCAAATTTATGCTATAACTTTCCTGCCAAAGAATCAATAATGTCTTGTTGCAGCACTTGTGATATTGCTTATCCCTTTTTTTTTTTTTTCAAAGGTGGAGTTCATGCCAAAATTTAGCGTTAGGGGAATTTGGCAGAGATGGCGGGAATCATATCCAAGAAAAGAGACAAAAGTTGATGATGCTATAACTGTATTTACAGGAGTAAGTGAGAAATATGCTACTTATGTAATGTCATAATTCTATGTCTCTAGGTGGTTATACATAACCATCATAGATTATAAATAACCATGTTATTTACTTATATTCTCAGGATGGTTCCTCATGAGGCAACAATAACTATACCTGTTTGAAGTCATTCAGTATACGTGTAATTTCCAGAGAGCTTTTGTCATTTTAATGGTGTAGTTTATGTTTTCCCTTTGCATGATGCAGGTTCCAACTATGTATACACGATTAATACAAGGTTATGAAGCTATGGATCCTGAGTTACAAGCCATCTCTGCTTTAGCGGCTGGCCAGCTTCGTCTAATGGTAATCTCGTTTCCTTTACTTGTTTAAAACCTTGTGAAGTTGGACTCTGTTTGCTGTAATGAGTAGAATTCTTGAAACTGTAAACTTGTATAATGATTTTATGATATTCGATTTGCTGTTGATTCTTTTCATCTTCAAAATGATTAAAAAGTATGTAATTTTGTACCTCTAGATGTGTGGCTCCTCTGCACTTCCTCTTCCTATCATGCAGCAGTGGGAAGCCATTACTGGACATCGCCTACTCGAAAGATATGGCATGACTGAGGTAAGTAATTAACCTGTCGTCAACAGGTTTTCTGCTTCATGAATGGACTGCTGAATTTGGTTTCTGAAGAAATTCTCTATGCTCATACTGATGGCTCGATATTGCTAGTTTGTCATGGCTATTTCTAATCCCCTAAGAGGTGTAAGGAAAGGTGGAACTGTTGGAAAACCATTGCCAGGTGTGCAGGTTAGTGAGATTTCTCAGCTGTTAAATTTAATGTTGAAAATCTTGACCATACTTCCCAGATTTTAAGCTGACAGATTTTTGGGTTTCTGAATTTGGCAAATGTTATCCTGTGAATATGAATATACATCTGCATGATAGTGTGTTACTTGATGGTTATAAGTTTACTGATTTCAAGCTTTGTTGTAGGTCAAGATTCTCGCTGAAGATGGGAGTGATGATGACAAATCAGGGGTGGGTGAACTCTGTGTTAAGAGCCCTTCACTGTTCAAGGGATACTGGAAACTTCCTAAGGTAATTTTGCTTATGATCTATACTATTCTTTTTTGATGTGGTTGAAGTAAATCTTGTCTCGTACCATATCTCATTCCCTTAAGCCTGTCCTTTTAATGACTCCTTAGGTGACTGAGGAATCTTTTATTGATGGGGGGTTTTTCAAGACTGGAGATGCTGTTAGAGTGGATGAAGATGGATATTACATCATTTTGGGACGTGAGTATATGTTGGTGACCATTGAACTGTTTCTTGGTTTGTTGGGAAAATACCATTTGTAGAGTCAGCACTGATATCTACATTTATCATCCACTAGATAAACAGCTACTATAAAAAAGCCCGTCAAAGCTGTACCTTTTTCACCTTTTTTTTGGTAATGGTTTTGTTTACCTATGGAAGGCGTGATGAGGGCAAAATAATGCTTTTGAATTCTCTCTCTCTCTAGCAGAAGATAAACCGCATGACATTTGTGGTTTGCCTCTAAAAACTTTTCCTGTTTAATGTCTAAATTTGGTTGTCTGCATTGATCCTGTATTTTACGAAGTTTGTGGATACCTTTTACTAAAGAGGGTCTCATGTATTGTCTGTTTTTGAAATGGCCTTTCACACCAAAAATTTTCTTACAGGTACAAATGCTGATATAATGAAAGCTGGTGGATATAAGTTATCTGCATTGGAAATCGAAGCAGTTCTTTTGGAGGTTTCTGCTCATCTTAACTTTTATTTTTGATCTACCTAAATATGCTCCTCTTTTCATAATTGCACATTTTTATTTCCATTAAATTTCTTATGTGCAGCACCCGGTTATCTCAGAATGCTGCGTATTGGGCTTACCGGACAGAGACTATGGAGAGGCTGTGTGTGCAATTGTTGTACCTGATGCAGAAGTCAAAAGAAAAAGGGAGGAAGAGCTTAAGCCTGCCCTTAGCTTAGAGGAATTGTCAACTTGGGCTAAAGAGAAACTTGCTCCATACAAGGTTTGATCTGTAAAATTAACTTTATATACAGTCTATGTATGAGTTTTAGTTGCCATCTAAACAGAGTAACTCAGAAATCACGCCACATTTCAGGGTTACTGTTTCCTGTGCAATTAGGTTTATGTACTGGTTTAATTATTTGGGCAGCTTTATGTAGTACCTACTGTCTTCCTTATCTAAATTAACAATTTGAGTGTAAATATGATTCTTGTTTGACAAGAGTTTGATCTGTTTGTGGTGCTTCTAAGAATTATCAACTAGCATGAAGGATCTACATTATCTAACTCATGTTACTTCAACCGTCCAGCTACCTACTCGTTTGTTGCTATGGGAGTCACTACCTCGTAATGCTATGGGAAAGGTAAGTTTTGCAAATGATACCGAAAATTCTTTTGGCATCCTTCTCTTATTAAGTACTTTCATCATTTGCACTATTTAGTATTGGTTTTGTAGTGATTTTACCATTAAAAAAAAAGCTCATAAATTCTTAATTGATTTCAGGTGAATAAGAAAGATTTGAAGAGAAAATTAGCTGCTGATGTACAATAAACTCTTAGGGTTGCAAATGAAGAACAGGACGGAAACTGTAGATTGCAGTAATAAGCTGCTGCATTTCACTTTGCTCTTCTTGCTGTTTCAAGGTGTCTTTTATCAGAAGAATGGCTGCATAGGTGAACATCAGGAACAGTAAGAAGCTATTTGGACGTTATCTTTAGTTAATAAAAGCTGGAGATTCTACGCATGTACTGAGCTACCAAATTTAGGGCCTTTAAATTCTCCTAGTGTCACTACAGTGATTGAAGGAATCATTTCTATCTAAATTGATCAATCGATTGTAGGACAAGTAACCTTTTAATGTAATACAATTGCAAAAAGCTTTCAGGTAGCATAATACATCAACCTTTGCAAAGCTTACTACATTTACATTTGGTTTTCAGTGATTGAATTCTCATAAACTCCTCACGTTATTCTGCTCATCCTACCTACATAATCATCTAGTTATATTGGTTAAGTCTCGGAAGTTCCTTTTCAATCATGGGACTTGCAGATTAATTTGGCTTACTGAGACCGAAGTGCTCTCTCAGATTCTTGATTAATAGGCTTGTAGGAAATGGAATTTACATCATCGTTTATCTTGTATGCCTGTATTCACGAGTCCAGAAAAGATGAAAAAGAAAAGGCAAATCTAGGTATCATTTCAATAACCTTTCGGAAAATAGCTATAGCATTTGAATTACTAGTATGAAACCGTGGAAAAAAACTGAAAGAAGATGGGATCTCTTAGGTCACATTTGGTTATTCCTCTGTTCAAGGCTGAAACAGACATATGATTGATGTTGTCAGACCCATCCGTGAGTGCTAAGCTTTCGTTGATGAGTTGATAGAGCCTGCTTACCGTTACCTGGTTTCTCTGCATCAAGTCCACGTTATACCTGGTGATCGTCGAGACCTCATCAGCCATGTTCATCAGTCTTGGTTGCTAGTTCTTCTCCACTGGCCTCGGAGATAATATGCTTTTATGTTTTTGCTTACATAGGTATTATCTCATTAAATTTAGAGCTTCGTTCTTTCCGAAGCACGAGATTCACGTGGGATGTGCGAATGCAGAAAGAATACTTGAAGAAATGAAAATTTTAGAGCTAGGGTTTTCTGATACATATTTGGTAATTGGCGTGCAAGTATTTGCTGTACATGCTTACTATGTTATTGATCAATAAACTGCTCAACTCCAGCAGGCATTCGAAATCAAGCCGGCATCACTCTTAGTGGTGTCCTCGGTCTCAATTGTGATATTTCTTCCAATTCATTCCCTTCAATGTCATCCTCCCTTTTGACATCATCAGCACAAGGTCCATAAGCCCAGCTACAGATAATGAAGCAAATCAAATTAACACAACTCAAGATAGAAAGAAGCCAGTAGTAGTTCTCATAACGACCCTTGTTGATATTGCTTGAAACCCAACTCTCTTTTCCTTCTCCTTTGGTGTATCTATCGACAGTGCTTAGTACAGCACTTGCCAATACATTTGCCACAGCCATTCCTAGTCCAAATAGAGACGATGCAACACTTGACATGGTTCTGGGAAACTCAGAATAATAGAATTCTATTTGGCCAATCGCATTAAAAGCCTCTGCGAAGCCTCCCGCAACATATTGCGGCACAAGCCACATGGCAGACATGTCTACCAATGCTTGTGGATCATTGAGGAACCCTTGCTCGATTGCTTTTCTTCGTCGAACGCGCTCTACAACACCAGAAATTACCATCGAGAGCCCAGTGAAGAATAATCCAATTCCCATTCTTGCTTTTGTACCAATGCGTACTGGTTTTCCTCTGATCTTTCAGGCCAATGGAAGAATTGCACGATCATAGAGGACGAGCCAACCAGAAATAGTGATCATCATAAACATGACGAAAGAACCTGCTGGAATTTGGAAGTTTGAAGTGACATGTCTATTCATGGAGCTAGCCTGAATTACAGGAAAAGAGCTCTGGCTGGTGTTTATTGACATCATGATTCCTGTGGACCATATTGGGATTACTCTGATGAGTGCTTTCAGCTCCTCAACTTGCTCTACGGTGCAAAGACTCCAGGGGTCCAAAGCAACTCCTGATGGTGTAACATCCTCTGGATTTCTAAGGACGCATGCTTTATTCAAGAACCTAGTCAATCACGGCACACATTATCATACGGGTTTAGTGATGTGTGCGAACAGATAGCACAGCATAGAAGATTCAGTGGCAAAATGTGAAAGATGAGAACGCCACAGGTAGGACAGTAATCTTACATCAGTTTCTCAGTCGGCCCGGTGTTTCTTGAGCCCTTTCGATGATGATACGAACTCGAGTCCAGAGGAGGGAGGGCTAGTTTCCTGTTCTTGTATGCAGCTACGGTCACTTGCACGAGACCCGTGAGCAAGCTTTTGGTAGCTTTATGTTTGATGTAAAATGAAGAAGCAAGGAAGAAGAGCAAAGCAGAGAGAAACATTAGGATTGCTGGAACTCCAAAGCCCACTTTCATTCCCATTTTATCCTGAATGTAAACAATGCCCGTGAAAGCAACCAGTACCGAGATTGAAGTGGCTGCATAATACCAGCCAAAATAGCTTTCTTGTACCCTTTCATTATCGGGATTGTCTTTGTTGTCAAGTTGATCAGCACCAAATGCCATGGAAGCTGATCTTATCCCGCCTGCACCAATCGACATGAGGCCGAAAGAGGAGATCAACAAACCCAACTGTCCTGCTGTTGCTGATTTACATGGCGGAATTAGGTTACAAGATTTAGGCTTTGCTCCTGGAATCATAGCCGTTAACCAGAGCACAGTCATCCCCTATTGCCATGAAAAACAATGAATTTTGTGAACAGATTTAGACAACCAAAAGTCCAGAATATTGTGCGATCATTCAAGAATTTTATCAAGTTTATATATATATATATATAAATTGAGGTATGGAAGGAAATGCATTAGACAGCATTGCCTTCCATCTTCTCTGCATCATTTTCAAGCCATGCGCTTTGTTTATTTGTTCCATCTTTGAAAAGCAGCTAGAACATGAGGGCTGGCATTCTAGTAAACAAACACCTGACAAAACTCATGTTGTTCCGCAATTACCGAACAGCCATGTTGCTTGATGAAAGTTTATTATTTTCTAGTCCATTAATTATCATTTTCACTTTAAACAAGATAAGAAAGATGCCCACTTGGTCCATCGAATCTAGCTGTTTCGATTGATTGATTAATGGTAGAGAGTGGCCACAACTTCACAGTTTGAAGTTTGAACCATCAAGACTTTGTCAGAAGTACAATTTGTTTCAGAGTGTACAAAGATTGCGACCTAAGATTGACATCAACCATACATAACAGTTACCGCTAGAGAATTGTCTAGGCCCTAGTCGACACAGCCCGAAAAGGAAGCAAAAGCTCATAAATCATAATACCCTGCAGAAAAAATACAAGGACGAATGGTGAAGGAAATGTGGCTGTAGCAACAGGAGCGGAGTGCAGCTGTAGCCGTGTACGAATGCGCATAAGATATTTACCATACGTTTATTTGCTTCCCCAGATGAGCAGCTTCTTGAGGGACAACAACGAACTGGAAAATTATTTCTTGAGCAGCTTCTTGTTTGGATTGGGCTTTATTTTCCTAAATTTATTTACTTACATCATCATTATAATTTCTAATACATCTTTTTTATCTTTCCAATTACCTTTTTATCTCACATACATCATATCACAAAAAATGTTACAGTAAAAATATCTCTAATAATTCACAATCCAAACAGAAGCTATATGTTTTTGCAGGGAGAGAGAGATTGTTAACTAGTTTGACATCATCCTGGAACTCCAATTTCATAATTAGGTGAAGTGACGGACAGGTGTAAACATCATCATGGCTCTTGACTTCCAACAACTATACTCATCTCAAAACAAAACATTTTTTTTTTTTGCATTACCAAGTGCTTTCCTATGTGTTGTGCCACTAGAGCAGTAATTTTGAGGCCTTGTGCAAATGGGCGTTTAAGGTGAACTTGGTTTGGTTTGGATTATTATTTTCTAAAATTTTTATTAAAAAAAATATCTTGTAACGACCTGATGCATACCAAACAAAAAAGTGAATGAAAAATACGAACACAAAAAATATAAAAATATTTCTTTAAAAGACTGCAATCGAAACAAGGCCTGCCGATATACATGTACTGCCAAGATATTTAGCAATGGGATTTTTTTTTTTTTTAGCCATGGGATTTGATCCGGGATTTGTTGGTGCTTGGAACTTTGGAGGAAAAAGGCAAATTACGGTAAAAGGTTGGACATACTCGGCAGTTGGGATTCTCTGGGCATCTAAGCCGCTTCGACGACACCTTGGGAGCTGAAATCTAGGTAAAAGCGATCGGTACTTAGTACCCTTTCTTTTTACTTTTTCTATTTACGTTTTGTTCCCTTAAAAAAGGAGCAAATGATTGCAGTTAGTATGATACAATAATTGCGAAATTTTGGAACATATTGCTGAGGTACCGGTACCTTGCCTGGGAAGATTTCCGAGGGGATAAAACTCAAACGAACTAAGTAGCAGCAAAGTTTTGTAAACAGAACTTCCAGAAAAATGCTAGTTAAAACAGATTAAAAAGTGTTCCAACACTGGAACTAAAATTAGTTATTTGAAGAATTGAAGTGGAAAAAGGGACGAAGAAAAACGCAGGTCGTGCAAATTCATGCCCCCTCCTCTAGTCTAAACTAAGTTGGACTTGGACCGGGGGAGGCAGAGAGGGCTAAATAAAACTCTTAACTTGGTAGCTGTCAGGAGGAAGTTTCATCGGGAAAAGAAATGAAGCACATGATTCAAGCAGAAGAAGCTGAAGATATAAGCTAGCAGTAAAATTATTACCAGAAGACTGAAGATACAACCCAGGCTAATGGTGAGAAAACGACCCGAATATGAATCTGCAAGAAAAGCTCCCAGCGTCGGTGTGAAATTGGTAGCAGCGGACCAGAGAAAGAGTACGTAGTTTGCCTTTGCAAAACTCAAGTTGTAGCCTTTCATCAAGTAGAATATCATGTTTGGCAACACCCCATAACTTGCCACCTTCTCAAATGCCTCGTTTGCTGACCACCCCCACCCAAAAAGAGAAAGAAAAAAAATAAAAATAAGGTTCAACTCAATTCATTGGTTCAGCTCAAACGTAAGAATTTGAGGAGTTATTGTATCAGAAAATAAACTATATGTTTCTTGATTGAATGAATTACCTATGATGAATGGCATGGTTACTAGGCCACCTTTTCTTCTCGTTGTTGAGAGTTTTTCCTTCTTGTCCATTGCACCAGTATTACTTGAATAACTCTCCATTTCCATTCCCATCTTAGATTGTTGTGTGGAGATAGAGAGTAACTCTCCAACTCCTTTCCCAACTTAGATTGCTTTGAGGAGAGTGAATAACTGTGACCCTTCCCCACAGTATTGGCTTCCTGTGAATGAAAACAAAGAGAGATGCTCATATTTATTTGGAAGCTAGTAGTATGTTTTCTTAGTCAATAGTCAAATATGAAAGCTCACACGAGAGATTATGACCACAAATCTATGAGAAACCTTTGCTTTAGAGAGCCAGCAATTGATTACAAGTGAAGACAAGCGCTACCACGGCGATGGCTGAGGAAAAAATACTCCAGAAGTGAACAAGCAAATAATTAGAGAATCTGAAAATCACAACGGCGAGAAAGGAAAAGAAAACTAAGGAAGGTTGAGATTTTCTCACTTTTGAGACTTTGGGTAGGAAAAAATTGAACAGAAAAGGAAGGACGTCAGGTCCCTTTCAAGTAGGGGTGCAAACAAATGGAATCGAATCGAATTTTAATATAATTAATTTTACGAAGCCTCGAATTCGAACTCAAGTTTAACGAACTCAAAATGTCAAGCTCGGGTTCAAGTTTAAAAAAAATAAAAAATAATTATTTTATTTTTTAAAAAATAAATAAAATAATAAATTTTTAATAAATAATAAAATATTAAAAATATATATGTAATTTTACTATTAAAATAAAAAATAAAATATATATAATCGAACTCGTTAGCTGGCGAGCTAACGAATTTATTATTTTTTAACTCGAATTCGACTTGGATAGCTCGAACTCGATGTTCACCTAGCTCGAGTCGAGCTCGGACTCGAGTCGCTCGCGATCGGCTCTCGAGCGGCTCAATTCATTTGCAAACCTACTTTCAAGTAAAAAAAAAAACTTTTCGCCCAGGGAAAGAAAGTGGAGTTGGTTAAATGAATTATAACCATATACCACTTTTACCCTTAAAAAGTTTACAATATAACCTAATAGAATACTCATGTAAATTTAACATTTAAGGGCATTTATGTAAAACAAAATCTTTTCTTTTCACTTTTCTCCACTTCCAAATAAAGGAAAATTACTTCATTCCCTTTCTCCTCCAAAACTCCCCAAATAACATGGAAAGATAGTACAATATTTTCTATTCTTTTCTATTCTTTTCTTTTCTAGCTTAAGGTTTATGTTCTTTTCCTTTCTTTCCTTAACCCCCAAACTAGAGTAGAGTGAAGGGGAGACCTGGAGAGGTACCGAATTGAAAAAATGGGCTGGAGTAGAGGCTGGAGTGTAAATACGTGGGGACACCAAATAGAGAAAAGGAAAATTTGGGGCAATTGCTATAATAATTTACTAAACCTTGAACACATTGTTTAGTATTTGCCCAATGACATAAAACTTTGAAAAATCGTTCTTTTTTATATTTAAACTTTTTTAATGATGCATAATCATGCCAACGAAAAAACTTTGAATTAGTTTAGCTAAGTTAATTTTCTTTTGTTAAATTGTAAGAA